CAAACATTTGTTTGAAACCGCGGCCACGGAGGTTGCAGAAACACCGGATCGTGCTTAGCGGAGGTGTGGCGGAGGTCTGGAGGCCGGAATTTAGGTAAAAATCGGATTAAAAATTAAAAGTTGGAAAAAAACCTCAAAATCTTTTGATTTTTCTGTGAGAAAAAGATATACGATGTTAGATCTACTAGTTTTAGGCAAAATCTAGTTGAAAACGAGTTAAAATACAGTAAAAATGAGCTAAAAATGGCTGACCGCCATTGTTAGGATTTGAGAAAAGTTTGGTGTTTTGTGGAGAAGATGAAAGATAAATTACGATTTTACCCTTTATTGAATAAATCTACCACTACTGTAAATAAGTCTACCACTACTATAAATAAGTCTACCATATATTATAAATCTACCACTACCACGACTATAAATAAGTCTACCACATGTTATAAATCTACCACTACTATAAATAAATCTACCATTACTATAAACAAGTCTAAAGTTGTTTTAGTAAAGAAGTGAAAAGATTGAATAAATCTACCATTACAATAAATAAGTCTACCACAGATTATAACTCTACCACTAGTATAAATAAGTGTACGATTGCGCGAACCATCAATAAGTCCCCCAATCACAAAATAACTCTACCATAACTACTAATAAGTCTATCACTCAAAAATAAATCTACCACTACTGTAAATAAGTCTACGATKRCGCGAACCATCAATAAGTCTACCGATCACAAAATTAACTCTACCACYACTASAAATAASTCTACCRMATTTTATAAATTTACCACCACTATAATTGCGCGAACCATCAATAAGTCTACCGAACACAAAATTAACTCTACCACTACTACTAATAAGTCTATCACTCAAAAATAAATCTACCACTACTATAAATAAGTCTACGATTGCGTGAACCATCAATAAGTCTACCGATCACAAAATTAACTCTACCACTACTACTAATAAGTCTATCWSTSAAAAMTAAATCTACCACTACTATAAATAMRTMTACGAYTGCGCGAACCATCAATAAGTCTACCGATCACAAAATTAACTCTACCACCACTAGAATCGATCATAAAATTAACTCTACCACTATGAGAAATAAGTCTACCACATATTATAAATGTACCACTACTATAAATAAATATACTATTGCGCGAACCATCAATAAGTCTACCAACTACTTAATAAATCTACCAATCGCAAATAAATCTACCATCACATGAACGGTAGACTTATTCGCTACCTCATTAAGTAATTTTCAAAGAATAACATCATTTTGGTCAAAAATCAATTTTGTAAAATTGTTTTAGTAAAGCTCTCATTTTTTATTGATTTTATGCGCTTTCATTTTTCTAGTATTTGACGTTAAAGCATTTTG